GGGCATGGGGAAGACAGGCAGTACTTGAACTATTTTGATGTACTTATTTTCTCCAATAATGAGATTGTACAGAATAGCAGAAAACGGTAAGTAGTAGGAGAACAGTTTGTGGAACAGAGCAGTCATAGGAATAAATTAAAAATCAAAATGTGAATCTGAACCATGCTTCTTATTCAAGAAGGAAGCAGTGATAGTGATGTTGTAGACTCTCCAGGATGATTGTTGTACATCTTGTTTTATGTTTTTCCTTGTAATTTTTTAATAAGTTCCAGAAATTTATATTCCTCAGTATGTTTAGGACTCTGGATTAAAGAATAAATTTGGAAGAAGTTCCTCTTTCTAATTTGAATGCCATATCATTACACTGAAATAGCTTGCATTTGTTACGTTTGAAAATGGATGTATTCCTTCACAGAATCACAGAATGGTTTGGGTTGAAAGGGGCCTTTAAAGTTGAATCCCCCAACCCTTTCAGACACATCTGAAAAGGATAGACGTATTTTTACACATTTAGGAAGGTGGGGTTTAGATTGTATTATTACTGAGAATCTAAGTTTGAAATTTTGATATTTAATAAAGCATTACTGGAATTCCTGAGATCTGCACATGTGTTTTAAACATTGATCTTACTATGGCAAAAGTGGTTGTGTGTTGATATAACACAGTTGCCTTGGGTTTTGTCTGCTGTGAGACAGAAAGCAAGGATTCCTTACCCTTGCTACGCTGACATACAATATACATACATATACACACACTTTCACACACACATGTTTTACACAGATTATTTTTTTTCCTCCTGACATCTTCTGTTGGGGAAAGTATTTCTGGGCTCATTTTTAAATTGGGATTCAAACTTAAGGTACCTACCCTATTCCTCTATGCAAGAGCATATCACTGTCTTTAAAGGACTCTTGCACTTGGACATAGGAGAAGCAGCCAAATGATGCGGTCTTGAATGAACTTGAAAGTAACTGGAGGGTGGGGGAGTGTAGGCAAAGAAGTTCTGTGGTGCTTCTTAGAGTTGAAATCAATTTATTGCTATGTAAAACACAACCAAAAGTGTGAACAGAATTAAGTACAATGAAGTAGAAAAGCACTTATTAAGGTAAAAATAAACTTTTTGATTATTCTGTCATGATTCAGTGTAGGTAAATGGTGAACATTTAGCCACTAAAATAAACAAAATCAGTGTAAACTGGATGGGATACATTTTTGGATCAGTGTCTGAAGTTATTTCATTCATGTTGTTATAAATTTCACTTATGTTAACCTGAGACTGTGATTGTCAATGGTGAAGTGCCTAAAAATCTTCCATAGCAATGTTTCTTTCAGGTCATCCTATATGGAATTTACACATTCTTGTCTTCATCTTGTCTTCATTCTTGTCTTCACTTTCTTCATCTACAGAGGCTGTTTAGACAGGTATACTCTTCGCTGGGTAAAAAAACTGGCTGGATGGCCAAGCCCAGAGAGTTGTGATCAATGGAGTTAAATCCAGTTGGTGGCTGGTAACAAGTGGTGTCCCCCAGAGCTCAGTTCTGGGGCCAGTTATGTTTAATATCTCTATCAATGATCTGGACAAGGGGATTGAGTGCGCCCTCAGTAAGTTTGCAGACGACACCAAACTGGGTGGGAGTGTCAATCTGCTCAAAGGGAGAAGGGCTCTGCAGAGGGACCTGGACAGGCTGGATCGATGGGCCAAGGCCAACTGTAGGAGGTTTAACAAGGCCAAGTGCTGGGTCTTGCCCTTGGGTCACAACCCCATGCAATGCTACAGGCTTGGGAAACCTCGAATCCTGTGTTCAGTTTTGGGCCCCTCCCTACAAGAAAGACGTTGCATTGCTGGAGCATGTCCAGAGGGGAGCAACAAAGCTGGTCAGGGGTCTGGAGCACAAATCTTCTGAGGAAGTTCTGAGGGAGCTGGGGTTGTTTAGCCTGGAGAAGAGGAGGCTGAAGGGAGACCTTATTGCCTTCTACCTGACAGGAGGCTGTAGCGAGGTGGGGGTCGGCCTCTTCTCCCTGGTAACGTGTGATAGGACAAGGGGAAATGGCCTCAAGTTGCACCAGGGCAGGTTTAGGTTGGACATCAGGAAAAATTTCTTCACCAAAAAGGTTGTCAAACATCGGAATGGGCTGCCCAGAGAAGTGGTGGAGTCCCTATCCCTGGAGGTATTTAAAAAAGGTGTAGACGAGGTGCTTAGGGACATGGTTTAGTGGTGGGATGGCAGGGCTAGGTTAAGGGTTGGACTTGATGACCTTAAAGGTCTTTTCTAACCTAAACGATTCTGTGATTCTAGAAAGTGATAGGGTGGATAGTAAGCGAAATGTATCTGACCAACTATAAGGACTATTAGGAAGTTCAGTTAAAAACTACTGAGCTGTCATTTACAGTAAAGTCTAGGACTAGGTCCATTTCAGTTTGCCCTTTAATTGATTGTTTCTTACGTATCTGAAAAGAGCACTTATTTTTCTTCCTTTGCTAATATACAATATCATTTGTACCTTAAAATTTTATCTCAGGTATGCCCATGCAAAGACCTATGAGATCTATTTTGTGTCTGATACTTGTTGAGTACCTAGACCTGTGCATACTGCAGCTCGATCTAGCTGTTTTCCAGCTCCTTTTGTCCACACACGTCAAAAGCTGTAACTGAAAAATGCATGTCTGATGGTGTTCTGGAGGTACTAAACAAGAGAATAGTTGGATCTCTTTAAACTTGCGTTTTTTAAAATCATAAAAATGCTTCAATTTGGCTGTTAAAGTGTTAATAATGTAGTCACGCTTTACAATTAGTAAAGTTATGGGCCAGAGATCTAAGCAGTCCTAGTCTGCGTTCACTCTGAAGTAGGCTTAATTAGTTATGTATGTATAGTTTTTAGAGTGACAGGAATTTTAAAAATATGTATGTGGGAAAGGGCCATTTAAAGAAAGACAAACATCAGTATTGTACTTTTCCTAGTCAAACCCAGGATTCCACCTTAAGACCACAGTGAAATGTATTTAAACATATTTAAACAGCATGCATTTAAGTACAGTTTTTTTAGTTTTTTCCCAGTTTGTAAACTGTAATTATTTTGGAAGGTATCACAAGGTATGACATTCATATGTTCATATGTATTTCAGTTCTACAGGCTTCAGAATCTAGCCATGTTCTTTTGCCTAGGATGCTTAGTTGCTGTCTGGGGTTAAACCACGACTGTAATGTATTTTTAAACCTTTATGTAAGTAATGCCTTAATGAACAATTCTCATAATTTGGTAATTTTTTTACTTGTTCTAATATCTATGTAATTGTTTAGAATTTGAGAGGAATACATGACCTTTGGGACATTGTGTTCAGGGACACTGTACACTGAACTTGAAACAAATATTCAGCTTGAATAAAACATAATTTAAACAAAACCTGTACATTATGTAAGAGGTGGGAGTCATCAGTGAGGATCCTTTTTTAAAGGAATTTTATTTGTAGAGGTTCAAATAATGGAGGAGTCCCTGAAGTTCCACTATCTGAAAACAAAAAAACCCCAACACTTGTCTTTTACTCTTATTCTTTCCCATGTACCTCTTGCTGCCAATCTGATATTTTGTGTCAGCTTCATCCCTCTTTCCATTTCTGATTCCAAGTAAAATTCTAAAAATTGCTAGCTATGCAAATTTTCTTCTGGGTCCAGATAATTGGATTTCATTTGCAATTTTAATATCTCCTTGTTTTGTGACAAATGTGGGTAACCAGAACTGGCCATTTTAAGTTGTACTTTAGCCTAGTATGTTGTGTAATAAGGTTAGAGATGAAGTGCAATAGTTTTTTGAATTTTGCTGCTTAGAATGATCTGTAAAATCTTTATAAGGTCTTTCTCTAACTGCTGTAGGTAACCAGAGTCTTGCTTTGATAGGAGAGGGTCTGGCTGGTTTTTATTTTTTATTTTTTAACCATTTATTCATTTTTCTCCAGACAGGTAATGGGTTAAAATGACAGTAGAAACTGCCTTCTGGTACTAAGGCTTAAAAAGTGCACTTAACCACTTGCTCAGGGCATATGGAATAAAACATCAGGCAAAGTAATTTACAATCTTGTTTGCCTTTGAGGATAATGCAGAGCAGGGCTGAATAATGAAAGTATTATTTCCTGCATTTTTGTCAATTCAAGGTCCCTACTTAAGCTATACTGGAAAAGGGAATGAAGGTCTAGAAGTGGCTTCAGTTCTTGTTTGCCGTTTTGAATGCCCTGGAAACAACAGCTACAGGATCATGCACTTGATATTACATGGTTGAGGACTGGAAGACTTAAACAGGGAAAAAGAAGTCTGAAAATATTGTGTGATTTTGACCTCAAATGAATCCAGTGACACAGAAACATTGGGTTCATCAGTTTGACATACGCTTTTTCATTAAAATGGCTTCCACTCAGGGTTTGATTCAAAAAGTCTCTAATTGATATTGATTCTTGTTGCACAAAATTGTGTTTAATATATACAGTATTTACATAGTAAGATAACCACCTAGATAAAAGGAAGAATCTCAAAGAAATTTCATGTGTCTTCTGTTGTTGCTATTTTTCAAATTAGGCTTTGTTTAGTCTATTTTACATTCTAAAACTAGTTTATTACTCTTAATAATTACAGTTTACAAACTGGGAAAAAACACTAAATAAACTGTGCTTAAACGCATGTTGTTTAAATATGTTTAAATACATTGCATTGTGGTCTTAAGGTGTAACCCTGGGTTTGACTAGGAAAAGTACAATACTGATGTTTGTCTTTCATAATTAATACTGTTACTGAAATTGGTCTGCTCTCTGAGCTATTTTTGTTTTATGAAAAGACAATCATAGGAAAAGGGATGTTTCTAATAGGCTGTTGCCTAAACTGTAGTTCTTGGTGATGTCTTGTAGAATTCTAATACTTTAACAAGTCTGTAATGAAATATTTTAGAAAAATAAATCTAGCATAACTGAAATCTGAAGTTGCCTATATATTCTTATTTAGAGGTATCTATCTGTACAGCAGGCAACTTGAACTGCTCCAATACTGGAAAATTTAATGTACCACTCAATTACTATTCTTTAGCCCAATTTAAAATAATAGATTGGGAGTGAGGTCTTA